GAATGTCCATTTTTTATCTGTGTATTCAAAGTGGTTAGGATAGATATATAGTTACATTCTCTTAATGAATAGAGCGATTTGTTCTAATGGTGTTTGTAAATAGGATATCATGTCCGCATCTTGTACAGCAATTAATCACTAGGAAGAATGTATGCAATGTGTTAATTATTGAAACTGTCCTACCAATTTGATTTGAAACTCTGTCATTGCTATTTGTTTATCAATAAAATTGTGAAAAAAATTTTCAAAAAAAAAAAGGACAGGAGCAAGACAGTATAGATAGTTTATCATATAACAATATACTGATGAAACATATTTTATAGTTTATTGTCAGTGTTGTTTTCCACTCTGTTAGCTCCACAGCATAGGAAAGAACATGCTGTTCTTCCTACAAATGATGAGACAGCATGTCAACAAGAACATGATAAATGTCACATTAATTTCAAGCTTAGTTTTTAACAACTATGTGAATACACAGGTATGGACAAGTAACCTTCTTTTGGTGTAAAGCAAACAGTTGAAGTGATGCTAATTTGCATTAATTAGTTAACTCACCAACTAGCTGCATTAATTTGTAACTAATTTTCTTAGATATCACTTCAGATGCAATAGTTAGCTATGCCAGGTTACTTAGCAAGTTATTTTCTGCTATTCCTTAGGTTGCTTCTACAAACATGATATTTTCAATCTGCTGGGAATTGTTTCTAGTGTATCATCAGCTGTAAAAGGAAAGAACTGCTGAGTGTGGTGGTGCACATCCACAATCCCAGCACTTGGGAATCTGACTGAGGCACGAGGTGTTCAGGGTCAGCCTGGACCATCTAGTAGGATCCTGTCTCAAAGAACAAAACAGTCAACAGATGTGTTACTCTCTTACACAGCCTCACTCATCAAGCCTTGCCTGATCTTTCTCCAGTTGGTCACAGCCTGGGATCCAGTATACAAATCCAATATTGCATGTCTTGTGCATAAATGTTTTAAAGGATTTTATTTATATATATATAAGGATATATATATATATCCTTGCCATATAATATAAAAAGATCTACCTATGAACAGTGCAACCCAGTATTGCACCAACTTCAATATCAAATAAACCTTGAACAATGGCTACCATTAAAAACAACAACAACAAAACTTTCTCTCAAGTGGGCTGGACCCCTTCCTCCCCAAATTTTAAGGTCCCCAAATTCCAAATGTAAGCCATTTGACAAATATGTTCTGAAAAAACCCTTACCAGTTTCTGCCCAGACAGGACCTCCAGAAGAGCCAGCAGCTTGACACCATCTTTCATGTCTTCAAAGAGATCATCCACCACCATTGGGGGCTTCCGCTGTAAAATAAAAAAGCTATTGTGGGTGGTGAAATTTCTACTTTGCACAAGAAAGTTCCACCCCATTCCTATTGTTCCTCTCCCCCCCCCACCAGTGCTGAGGATGGAATCCACATCTGCACACATGCTAACCACATGCTATACTGCAAGCCAATAATTATTTATCAATTATTGCCAGCTATCTTTTCAGAACTGCTACAAGAAAAAAAAAATAAGTGGAAATAAAGCACAATATTCAGAATGCTCATAAGATTTAGTACTTAGACAGCTTACTTCTAAAACAAGACTTTTAAAATTTTTTTTATTAATTTTAATGAGAAAGAAATAGCAATGAGAGTGTCAAAATAGGTCAGTAGGACAGTTACAATAATTAATACATTGCATATTGTTGTCTTCGTAGTAGTTATTCACAGTACAGAATGATCTCTTATCTAAAAAATATTAGCACAAATCTTTCTTCTTATTGAACTAAGAGAAAGTAGTTGTATATCTATCCTAACTATTTTGTATATGCATATATATTTTTTTCACTACAAAATGGTCCTTTATTTATACTCCCTTTTTGTTTTGTTTTGTCAGAGATGGGTGCTCCATTGCTGTTAGAGAAGCTGTATTTGAAGAAGTCTTTAAAGGGCCTTTTCATACTTGATGCCAGTTCAAATGTTGTAGATACTTGAATTTAGCAAAATAACCCAATATAGTCCAATAGTCCATAATAGTAGTGGGTTATCAGCAGTACTGGCCATGTCAGAATTTGTTGACTTGAGCCTTTTATAGCTCAGCATATTAATATGACTTTACTTTTTATATCTCGTGGTTATACTTTTCTGCTAGATGGTTAAGACCAAATTGAAGCAAGAGTTATACAACTAAAAATGTAACTTTTGGATTTGACAAGGTCAGTCAAATCCCCTCAAGATTTACCCTGAAACCATGAGACTTTTTTTTTAAACAGAGATGTGATGGTATAAGGGAAAGAAAAAAGAGTACCATCAACCTAAAGAAAAAGAGAAAGAGCTGGAGATTAAAGCTATCCTGGAAGGACAGTGGGAAACACCCCACACAAACTGGATTAAGCTCACTACTTTGTGTGAGCAGGCCACCTCATAGGGTTTAGCAAGATGCAGCCCTTCTGTGGGATGCTCCCACCAGGGCAAGCTCACTAGCTCGGGGTCCTGCTGTGCTCTCAGTTGTTCACATATCCAATGTCACTGACTGTCAGTTGTTCACATATCCAATGTCACTGACTCTATTCCCAGAGGCGAGCAGGCTGGCTGTGTTCTGTTTCACGTCTAGCAGACCCAAAAGAGCATAAGCACAAGACACGATGGTAAGTGCAGATCCATCCCCACTCCTTGTAAAATATCTCCCATCCAGTTCATGAGAGTCTTTCATTTCTTACTGAGGTCTATAAATGTTCAATGTACTAGAGTTTGTAATATCTTCCATTACAGTCTATCCTGGCCTAGAAGAAAATAAAGAAATGATGCTAACATTGATGTTCCAGAAAAGAGAAATACTTTTTCCCCCCCATTTATTGTCTGATTTCAAGCTTCCTATTTTTCTGATTCTCACTGAATAGTTTTCAAAAACTTAGTGTTTGACTCTTAACTTCCAATTGTCTTTTGTTCTAGAAAAATAGGTTCTAGGTAGAGATATTTAGATACCACATGTTTTGTTGAAATTGACTTCTTTTCTATCCACTGATTGGGAGCATTTATGTTTACCTTATGGTTGCATGAATAATGTACTTTGAATAGTACTATTTCAATTTTAAATATATTTTCCTCTCTTCATAAAATGAACAGCTGAACACATTTTGTTCTCATGCTGTGAAGAACATGTTCCAAAATAACAGTTTTCACCTTCAGTCATTTTCTTGAATTCCCTCCATTAACACTGCTTCTTATTTACATAGCAGAAACATAAGAGACTTTGTATTCTAAGCATTAAATAAAATTATTTAGAATAAAAGGAACCATTACAGTGAAAACTATCTGGTGATAAGAATCAAAATCATTGCATTCCCATGTATAGTTATTACAGATCTATTTGCCATGCAAAGTATTACCTGTATACTTAAATAATTTAAATAAAGTAAAACAAGGAAAATATGTAATATTTCATGAGCAACTACAAATGATTCTCATATTGTACTAACCCGAATGAGTGAATAAAATTAAGGAAACAAGGTATCCCCTTAAAGTAATAAATATTCCAAGACTTTGACCCCAAAAAGAGGGTAAATTGCATGCATTTGTCTATCCCACTATGAGGCAAATATGAGTAGATCTCAGCTACTTTGAAAAATATTTTCTCTTGACCTCAGTTCCACCTCCCATTTTTCCTTCTCCCATCTCCACGGATGCTGTGGCATTTTCCTTTTGTCCTTGGTGGCTGTCTACATCATGTTCCACAGGGCTTCTGTCCTCAACCTTCAGATCAGCACCGATCACTGGACAAGTTCATCAGACCCTGCATGGGACACCGCTGGAGCTGTTCTCTCCTGACCTGCTCCTCTCAAACTTCTGGGACCAGTGTGCCTAGTTCACGTGTCTCCTCTTTAGCTCTGTATATGTCCATCTACTCTGCCTGCCTGCCTGCCTGTCTGTCTACTGGTGTCTCCTTATCATCTCTATCTGTCATCTATCTGTTTATCTACTATCTATCTATCTATCTATCTATCTATCTATCTATCTATCTATCTATCTATCTATCTATCCATCCATCCATCCATCCATCCATCCATCCATCCATCCATCCATCCATCTATCTATCTATCTATCTATCTATCTATCTATCTATCTATCTATCTATCTATCTATGTCATGTACCCTCTGTCTTTTTTCTTCCTAACTTTGACCACTTTCCTATTTCAATTCTGAGCCTTTTGTTCTTTACAAAATTGTGTCTGCAGACACAAGACTCTTGAGTCCTCCCTTCCAGGTAGGTGTTCACTCCTCAACCTTGTGGAACACATGGCAGGAACTCTGTGTATGTCGCTTACGGACTAGCTGGATGAATGAAGATAAACACTGTGAGAAACCAAGGAAACACCTTCATTTATCAAAAATTACAGTGCAATAAAAAATCTTAGTGACAAGTTTTGCAATTGCATTTTGCGTGGGTGCTGCTTGAGTACATACATGACCTGGGTTTGACCACACAGGACCTTTACTTGTGTGACTACATCACATTTCAGGGGACCATTCCAGCAGATAAGCTTTTAGTTGAAATGTTTCTTGTTACCATAGACACAGATGCAGCATCAATATGACTAGTTTGGTTGGACTTGGATTGTAGGGCCAAAGGGCAAAGGAATAATTTACTGCAGCCAGACTTAATGGAAAACAAAGGCAACATGGATTTTTTTTTTTTATTGCTTTTGAGCACTAAGAAGAAATCTGTCAAATATTTCCTAAGACCACAATCATCTTTTTTTAATCAAAGGAAATTGGCCTGAGCTGCCCTTTTTCATGGAGTATTTGGCAAAATTATACTGTCCTCTGGCCCCATCAGTTGTAATTTGTAAGCTCTACAGATACAGTGGAACCTGGACCTATTCGCAGAGTCTGGGGTGGTTCCAAGAATGGAGCCCCTGAGGGGGTTGGGGAGACAAGGGAGAGAACAAGAGGAGAAGCACTTGGCTTCGGTGCTGCGTCTTCTAGAAGCTTTTCTCAAACAAGGTTGAAAGTCTGTGTCCTGCTGGACTCAAGCAGGGAAGCTCAGTCAGTCACTGAAGTCTGCTCTTGGTTCTGTTGCTGATGAGTTGGCACTGCCCAGTGAGTCCCCTGCCCCATGGTGCCTTCTCTCCCAAGTTACACAGACCTCACAGAGCGTTGCGCTCTGCTTCTTCCCTCACTGTTTTCTCATAGCAGCCCCTGATATCATGAAATAAGACCTTTTCCTTGTTTTTTCCCATTTCAAGCATCAAATGTTTCTCCTGGAACTTTATGAAACCTGAGGAGGCAACAAGGTATTTTTGATATGATTTTTACAGACCACTTCCTATCTTCGGAGGAAATAGTCTGTGCTCCTCTTGTGTATGTGCATGTGTGTGTGATAAACTTGTGCTCTTTGATAGTCTAAAGCACTTCATATATTTAATCCTTTTTTTGGAGCCAGGAATCGAACTCAGGATGTGCTCTTGCCTGGAAGGCACTCGTACTGCTGAGCTATATCCCTAGCACATTTAATTGTCATCCATCATCTGTTTTTGTATATCGCACATGGAAGGATGGCCCAGTTTGCTATGCTACTCATCAATTCATGCCCTGAAAAACCAGTTAACTTACTTAGGGAGAAAAGAGAAAAGAATCTTATGGGAAAAGGTATCAAGCACAACCATTTGCACCAAAAGCGAACTTAAGGAGCCGAGCAGGGCAGCACCTACCTGTACTCACTGCACTCCTTTACTAAAGTGTACAAACAGGTATTCCCATCTTGCATGGGTTTCTCTGGGGTTCCTAGCTTATATACTCAGTTTAGCAGATAATAGGAAGGAAGGCAGAAGAAAGAAGGCAGAAGGAGGAATAAATGGAACACAATTAGCATCTAAATGTGTTTAATATTATCTTGTGGACTCCACATGATATCTCTCTGTATATGCACAGCCACCATGTATGATAATATGATCCCTTCTTTACTTATATTTACACTGTTGGTCATCAAACCCAAGGCCTCTTGCATACCAGCCAGTGTTCTCCCACTGAACTACAGTAACAGCCCACTACCTTCTCTTTAAATGCAAGGAATGAATGGATCTCAGCAATGTTAAGACATTGGCCAAGATCGTATTTCTGTCTTCTCGGATTTGAACCTGTGCTTCTTACAATTGGATCCACCTTGTAAAACAGGTAGCTTAGTATAAAATGTAGGTATTTCCCAGGGTAATATGAAAACCTGTAAATGTGACTCTTGCTTAATAGGTAAAGAAAATATTGGACTGTAAACTAAAGTGCCTAGCATGCTACTACAAATTTATTAGCAAAAAGCCACTT